GATCTCACCAATTCTACAAACACTTCCAATCCCTTCAGCTCATATATTCAGACTGAAGCCTTGTTATTGTTGCAATTGGTGGCCACTTTACTATCTTCCTTCATTGGTTTGTCTTGTTTCTCTTGTGATTCATCCCCCATGTCTTGCATCTTCATCCAAAGAATATTCAGCCCTCAACACCATGTCAGCCTCACTCTCATCAAAGAAGGTTTGTGCACTGGCTGTTGGTGTGGTCTTACTTCTCATCACTCAAGTCACATGTCAGGCTACACATGTTGGTAATAGTATAGTGATTTCTGTATGATTAGAATCTCTTATCTCAGTCTTGGCTGTTAACCCTGTTCTCTCCCAGCTGCCCTGCAATTTTCTGGGTCAATTTCAAGCATATCTCACCCCCCATATGCAACTGTTGCCACCATGGAACGGGGCCACTCCATCTGGGTTTGCCCAATGACACAGTTCTGAAAGTGGTCCTCCCAGGTTTTCTCTCGGTGGACTGCCTAAATTCAAGCTTTCCAACACTGGTAACTTGTATTGTGGGTATGATTCTACTTGTCATAGGCACCCAACAACATTGTCAACATATATGGTGAGTGATAACATTGTTCACAGTGTAAGTCAATTTCCAAGTTTTTGGCCATAACATAGTAATTTCCATTCCCAGCCACTTTGTGACCAGAAAGGTTTGCTTATGGTTTATCTCACCTCTAACCAATGGCTGTTGCCACCACAGAACTTGGAAATTCCATCTGTATCTGGTCAATGCATGGAACCTGACAGTCTGCCCAAATATATGCTTGATGGGAAACCTGCCTTTATACTTGTCCAGAACAGGCCACTGTATTGTGTCTGAAACAGAAAATGCCCAATGTTGATATATCCTTGTATACTGTGAGTCTGCCATGATTGTTGTTTGAAATTGCTATGCTTGGTTTCCATGTCAAAGTTCTGATCATCAAGTGTCATGTTCTTGTTCAAGTGGTGCATTTGTTGAGGACAGACTGTTGGGGTGCACATCAGCCAAGACTCCAGGATACACCCATTCAATAATACATCCATTTGATCTGGGTCTGCTACTTGCTTTGGTCAAGATAGTGTCCTGGGTCTTCTAGTCATCAATGCAAAATCATTCTTTGACTTGGGGAAAGACCCTTATTACTCCTTGCCTAATGTTAAATCCCCCAAACAATCCCAAGTGAGTGCTGATATCTCTGAAAAACCACCTTGCTATTCTTGATTTTTACATTTTGATTTATGATCATTACTTATCACTTTTCAACTTGGTTTTGCAATACGTTTGGACATAGGTGTATTGGCATACATTGGCACATATAATTAAACATATCCATCTGGCAGTGCTGCGCCAACCTCATCTGGAAGCAACAGATGCCTTCTAATTACAGGGCACCCTGTCTCAAGACTAGTTATTGATCTCAATCCAAGTTTCTCCCTTGGTCATGTTCTTTGCCCAATGGCAATGGTGACTGTGTCTCGACTTTCAACCCTTCAAATTGTAACCCTTGATCACAGCACTGATCACTATTTCACAGGATTTCTATATCTCTACATTATCATAACAAACAAGAAGCTGGCTTCTACATGTCATGCAGAACAGGTTTATTGATATGTGCCTTGATATTTATTTCAGTCCGCTTATTCAATGTTCTTTCCCATTCAGAAGGGCTGTCTCTGTAACTTCACTTATCAACACTAGCCAGTTGAATCAACCCTGGGCCAGCAACGCAAGTGTTGTGTGCTGCGCTGCGCTTGTGTTGCCGTTTCTTTGACCGCACCACACCGTAAAATCCATTTCAAAGTTGCGGCCTGACCCGCTGCGCAACAAGATGGGTCTAATTTCGAGTTTTTTTGGGCTGCAACAACATTTGTTGTTGCGTTACTCCCCAAAAAAACTTGAAATTTGACAGTTTTTTGGCGCTGTTGCGCCTTTTGCGTTGCGTGGCGGTCAGCGCGCCACACAACCCAGGCTAATGTTTTGTTGTTGTGGTACTTCCCGCAACGCAGCGTCTGCCGCTGGGCTTTGTTGCGTGTTGCGGAGCAACGCACCAAAAAACACACTTTCTGTGGTGCAGTGCGTTGCTGGCACAGGGTTGGTTGAATCATTTGACTGAGTTATGCTGTGATGACTCAAAATTTTAATCTGTGACCCGGAGCAAAGAAGTCCTTTCAACCTATTTTGCATGGGACTACTGTTAATATATAGTGGAGTGATGGAGGGAAACTGATACAAAATTTTGCAAAGGCTCACAAAATGGAAGGCAATGTGAGAAGGGGGGCCCTTAGGATGCTATGGAAAGAGATATCCCTGATATTACAGTAATATGCCTTGAGATCAAATGATTGATAACTGGCTGTAAGTGCCTATGTTGAAAGCAAACATGGGGAATGAAAAAGAAAAGCATTTGAATTTAACACACAGATCATCTTTTATATCTGATTTTTCCCGAGAACAGGAACCCTTTCAACACTTATGTATCTCCCTGGTTGTGAAACACCTCAGTGGTATCTGATAGAGGTATCTTCTCAAAAGGCTTATATTTGATGGAAATCAATGCCACCAGATGTAACAGGGTACATTAGGGCAGGAAAAATGATCACCAGGTGGTAAGGTGGTAACCTGATGAAGAGCCAATATCATCAAAGAAAATGGCTGAATCCAAAGTAGATGAATGGTGAACCAACAAATCACAGCATGGCAAGAAAATAGTGGTGTTCACACCTAGTCCAGTTGCCAAAAAAACTCAGCACACCTGGTTGAGTTTTTGGCTGGAAGGTGTCAATAAATGTCAACTCAATTCACAAAGTTACCACTAAAAAAGCAACTGGGTGTACCAGGCCTTTTGGTAACCAGGTTAGGTTTGAAGATGGCTAATCATCTGCATACCCAATTACTCACTTCTTGGGATCATTTTTCACCTTTTCAGTGTGATTATGTGGTTCTAGTTTGCATTCCTGCCCTTCCCACTTCAGAATCAGATTCCAACCTGGTGTGTGGAGAGTTCTACAACATTTCCAATCCTAGTTCCTATAATCAATACAATGCTTCTTTTTTATGCTTGGATCCCAGGGCCTCTATATCATGAGTGGCTGCTACCAAACCCTCTTGAGATCCCCTGATGATGTTATTAGCTGTTACACACATGGCAAGAGTGGATACATGTTGATTCATAGTCCTCACCGCCAAGATCCAGTATTTCCTTTCCTCAGATTGAAATCACTTGTGGGATACAAAGTTAAAACTGGGATTTTTTTCCCAGTTTCCCAGTTTTCGTTTTAGGCCGTGTTTGGAACTTTCCCACGTTCTCCCAGTTTCCCAGTTTGCGTTTTTGGCGGCATTGGGGAAACTGGGAAAAAACTCCCAGTTTTGACTTTGTATCCCCTAACTATAGGACCTCACAGTCACTAGGAACAGTGATCCCATACATCCCCTATCCAGCCACTGCCCCTGAAGCTGCCCATAACAAATGCTTTATTTTGAAGTGCTTTATCTTCAAGGTTCACAATCCCCTTGATGTTCAGTGTATTCAGAGTATGCGCCTGATTTATATAGCTAGATAAGGGTATATTCAGCTCAAATGGGCAGGTTAGGGGTAAGGTTGGAGGTGATCTTTTCCGTGTAGGGACCTGGGATGCAGAATTGTCATTCATTGGGTGCGAAGATCTCAAAAGCAAATGTGTTGGCTTGATCCCTGATTTCTTTGGCATCAATGGTGACGTGTTCAGTTACATATCCAAGATCCTCTGGGTGAGACGGCGGAACCGGGCCGAAAGCTGCCGAAAGGAATTACTCCCCGGTGGAAGCACTTCAAAGTTCAAATCCAATTTGAGCTTCAGGCGCTCTCTCAACTGACCGTGGGCTACGCTTGACTTGGGGACCAATACGGAGGTTACGCTCAGCTCCCCGATCGATCAACCGACCGACCAGCGGTGAGTGATGAGTGCAGTGTCGCTCACGACCTCTCCTGCAGGCCAGGCTCAGCTTTTCCATCAGTGAGGTGACTTTTCCAATTTCAAGATTCACCTCGTTGTACATTTTGTATCCGCCAAAATGTCGGCATCATCCGCAGTGGTGCCCATCGTTTCGGATGCAACAAAATGCTAAATCTATGTAAACTTCACCTTTCCAGCTTCAGAGTGACTTGAAAGTAGCCGGTCAGGTCGATTGTGTAGCACGTACGATCGATCTCAACAAATGAATTTCAAGGCTGGGGATGCTACCATGATTACTTGCTGAGGCTGGAAATAAAGTGACCGGTACCCTTTCCGCTGTTCATACCACACGAGCCCTCACCACGGATCTTGGCCAAATTGCGTCATGGGATATGTGAGATTTAGTTCCCTGTATGGTGCGCTGACCGATCAGAATAAGCATGCTTCCATCTGTGAAGAAGTGGGTTTTTCTTGGATGCTGAAAGGGTGACTGATATAACAACTTAATCTGCCATTGTCCTGCGCAGCGATCACCGATATAACACCCGTATTTAGGGCCAACGTCACGGAACTTTGAGCAGAAAGGTCAAGATGGCACAGATGCGCACAAAGGTGAATGAGGTCTTTCATGAGCGGTTATGATTAACAAAGTTGATGCAAGAGCTCACGTATGTTGACCGCGCTTAATTCAGGATACTTCATCAGCACGGCATCTGGGGGTTATCGCCGTTGCTCAAGAGAATAAGGAACTGCGAAAAATATTGACCCGAGATGCGTGCTCTTGGTGTTGGTCAAATGTTGTGAGTATTTATACTCATCGGATCTCATTCCCTTTCCTCCCTCACTAGACGTCCTTCATAAGCAGATTTTTCGTTTACACATCCCTTTTACCACTTTAGATTACTACAACAAACGTTCCTTGCAGTCCCTTTCTCTCCCTTTTGATAATACGCTTGTTGCAAGTCTCCAGAAACTTTCCCTTTAACTGATACATAGCAAACGACAACTTCACGAAAATCAATTCTCAGGAACCTTACCTGGCGATTCTCACAATGTTTTCAAAATATTTCGTTTCGCTATGCATGTGCCTTCTTGCTTTTTCCTCGGTAGATTCAAGAAATGTTGGCCAATCGACCAATGATATGAAGTCTTCAGACTTCCATCGCCGGGCCTCCAGGTTTTATGCCAAAACTGGAGAGCTGCTTTCGACATTTTCTTATTCGAGCTATAGTATCCCTCAAAAAAGCTCGTCTGAACAGACGTACATACGACACTCAGTCAGTTTTCTCAAATTCCAGCATCTTGAGCCTCGAACCTTGCTAACCATTTGATCACTTTGTCCTGCATGCATTGTGATTTCATGCTCCGTATAGAAAGGAGGCAAAACTTATACAAAAGTGCCATTCGGCTCGAATTCGAGTTCAGATAATTCACCAACACCCGCTACTACCCCAAGCTCTGGTCAGTCAGGAAGTACGGGTTCTTCAAATTCATCTAGCTACGTCGCGGGTTCAGATTCAGCCAAGTAAGAGTTTATATCTTGTGTCCAATTGCTTATTCATATCTTAGAGGTTGAAGATGATGATCTGTGTTCGTTTAGATGGTTGGCCGCGCATAACAAAGCCCGAGCTCAATACGGAGCCCCCGCTCTCACATGGAGTACTACCTTAGAATCCTTTGCTCAGAAGTTCACTGAGGCTTGTGTTTTTGAACATACAAAGAATAATCAATACGGAGAGGTAAGATCATCTTATGTGAATCGTAAAAGGATCAAACGCATGTACCAATTTTTCTCGCTATCCGCTCTGTTTATAGAATCTGGCTTGCGGACAACAAGATATCGAGAGTGTAGTCAATGATTGGGTCAGTGGAACGGATGAAAAGGATGTTTACGACCCAGCTAGTCCAGTATATTCCCATTTTACGCGTCAGTGCTCTATCTTTTATTGGTTTTAAATAGATTACGAAGCCCGCACAAGATTTTACTGACACGGATACCCTTGTGTTTCCGCTCAACAGAGGTAGTATGGTCAGGCAGTACCGAGCTAGGTTGCGCCGTCAAGAGTTGTCAGAACATTGCAGGCCTTCCCCAATCGCCCGCACCGTTGTACGTATGCGAGTACAACCCGTGAGTGGCTTTCTTAGATCTTTTTCACAACTGATGATCTTGATGACTTCGCTGAACATATCCTTACCTTTGATTTCTAAAATTAGGCCTGGAAATGTAGAAGGACAGTACGCCCAAAACGTCAAGGCTAGTAAGGGTGGTAAACCTCTCGGCGCATATTAATAAGGTCGTTGCAGTTCAAGACATGTTTTAGTGCTTTTTTTACTTCTCTTCAGTAGAACTCGTTTTTATGATATGATCGGGCAGTGCCTCGTGCACAGAGTTGCATCAGTTTTCATCGTTTATTATCAATTTTGCACTGCTTAGTAGCATTAAACATTGTAGATGTTGGATTGCAAGTTTTGAATTTGTAATATTTCAACATACACAGTGTTATTCATCACATTTTGAAAGTGTTCAGTTTTCATACTTTTCGTAAGATAAGCCTTATTAATCCACACGACTCTGCACGCAGAAATCTTGATACCTGGATTTGAATGATCGAGAGTAGTGATTGGAATAAAGTAAATTGATCGACCGTCTTTATTGGACAAGTAAAGGCGAGATGAGGTTCAACGCTTCAGACACAATGTTCGACTTCCACAGAAAATGTGGACGCGCTTGTTCAGCACAAATGGGTTTGTAGACCATGTGTTCTGATCTCCCGCAGCGTGCTTGAGATGAAAGGTTGAGTAAAATCAAGCTGACATGGAATTGTGATTTCAATTAACAAACGAAGGATACGTAAACCGGTAAGTAAGTACGAAAAAGCCGGTAAACAATTCTAGTATCGAAGAACACAAGTCTCTACGACAAAGATGAGAAGAAATATAAACAAAGGTATGCTACACTTGGTTCCAACCACAAAAGTAGCTAAATGGGCCTAGCCCTGAATAAATATATTTTCTTTGAGAAAAGTGTAAGGCCCACGAAGGGAGTAATAAGAAGAAAGCACATAGTCTCTTCGTAGAAGGTAGAAAAAAAATGAATGTTCAAATCAAGATAAGTAGGAAATAGAAAAGAAAGACAAATCCGTAAAAGGGCGTCGAAGGAGCGTTCGTTGTTGATTATACTTCAGGTGCACCTCCCTGGAAAGCTCTAACGTTTTGAGTGTATTCACCTTCAACATTTCCCGGACTAATAGCGAGATAGATGGCACAAGGGTGTCAGGTGCATATTGTCATATAATTGATCAGATTACGCATTAAAAAACATGGAGGCAAGAGTCAAGACTGACGGGTCATATTCACAGGCCCAGAATAGCACAGGAGATTGAGGAAGTCCAGAGCCTGAAACGACTGAGCATGAGGTGAGTGCGCAACCGACTTTGGTAGAATCTTTCCAAACGACCTCTGAAAAGGTCGATGCATTAATTGTTAGAGAATCCAATACGTTGTCAGACCATCGATCGATGACTCAAATACGAATGACTAACGAGTGAAGTGCGAATCCACCGGGTTTGAGGGGACATATGCGCCCTTCTCAGTGGGCCCGTTCACCCATGCATCGACCACGGACTCGATAGTAGGTTGGCCAGCAGCGATGTTCTGTTAAAACACATGTGAGGCGCAGTTTGAGATCGTTGGAAACATGTTTCATCATATGTTTTATAAGCGCTTACCTCCCCAAACACGTCGTTCGATGTGTGTTTCCACACACAGGTCTGGGTACATTGTTTTGCCGAGCGTGCTAGTCCGTGATCCCAAGCCAAGGGTTGAACGCCGTACTTAGCTCTAACCTTATTATGGGAGACCACCCATCTAATGACAAAGTTGTAAATGTCAGACTCTGTCAAGAAAAATGTGTGATTCATCTTACCTGTACTCATCCGTTCCGTGAGGTGGGAGTGGAGTCTGTGATGAACCAGAATGTATGGAGAGATCAGCACCAGTACGCACGTGAAACTGGGCTAGACCAAAAGAAAAGGTAGGCTGACATTATTATGATGAGTTGGCGAGGAAATTGGTGTGTAGTGAGTGATGGGAGTCGTGCGAGACGGATTGTGTTTCGGATTGTTAATGATTCCTTGGTGTGTTTCGGTGCGTTGGGGTGCACTCTGGATCGTAGTCTTCACAGCATATGAGCAATGGATACATCGAATAAAGGTTTGGGAGACAAAAGATGTCAGAGAACATGAGTTGCGCTTACCGAACTGGGTGACCATGTCCAAGACCACCAAGACCACGAATTGGAAGAAGATGTGGTGTGTGTTTCGGTGCGACCAGGAGCTGGATGGCTTGTGGCTCTCTTCTGGATAGGCGAGCGATGCGATATCACACCGGTAAAAGACGCTGCTTGTCCCAAACGGCGGTGATGGACACGTCGAGAAACATGAGTGCTTTTCGATCGTGTATCTGTCGATGACACTGCCAGGAGCCCGTACGCAATGAAAGCCGCAATGTGCTTGATAAACATCTTAAAGAGCGAACGGGCGGGTTAAAGGAAGAGTGAAGTAAATTAAAAGATGGAAAGCAAAGGGAATGACTATGTAGAGACAGTAAGTAAGAGGGAAGGAGCCGGCCTGAAGTCCACGCCGTAGAACGATTCAGAAGGTTTGAGAAAGATAAAAATTGTATGTATGTACTCGGTGAAACTTGTCGGGCATAAAAGATTTAAGGCCAGACCAGGCTATATAAAGAGTAAAAAGTGATTACAAACTTTCGAATTGTGACTTGTGAGGATGATCACCGTAGCAACCGCTGAGAGTGAGCACTGAGCAATGTTACCCACAGTGGGACGAGTTGGAAAGGAGGATGATTAGATTTGCATGTAATATTAATATTAAATGCCTTTGCGTGGTTTGGACGAGGAAGCAATCATATACTCAGATCCTGCCTGGTTTCAAAATGAAATTTGACTCGCAGAAGAACTCGCACTGGACTTCAGACGCAATGCTTTTTGACTATTAAGGATGCAATTTGAGCGAAGATAGTCAGGTGAGGGGTGTTAGCACCTTGGATCACGACGTTATCTCCACCATAAGTCTTGCTGTGTGTGAGCATGTGAGATAAACTGCTTCAAATAATCAGACCCGTCGGCATTATTCTCGCCTCTAGCCTCTGATTCTAGACAGTTCTAGGTTCAATTTGGATGGTCATTTTTCATAAATCGCAGTTCGAAAAAGGAACAAGGCAGTGCTTCCTATATGTAGGATGAACCTTCTACGTGTGATAAAAAGTATACTTACAAGGCGGAAGTGGAATGCATCACACCTTGCCCACTGCGCGTGGAATATGCTGAATGCAGAGACCTGCGGTTACATTGTTGGCTGTAATGTAGCAAATTATTCTGCGTTTGGTCTTCGGACAAGTTGATATCAAAAACCTTCATCTTACCAAATGTGCTCAACTTTTCTACTTGCAACCTGAGGCACTGAGGTTCTATGTGGACTCTGTTCTGGAACTTGCAAATGAGGGTTTACCCGGTAGTTTTGCTCGTGTTGCATGGTCGCCTATCTGTCCATTTTACTTTAACCCAAGCTGCAGGTATGTACTTTCCTACTCAAAGGCTCCATCTTGTACTTGCGCCTATCTTATCGATTCTATTGCCTGCTGAACTTGACAAAGTCCCTGCCTTCTTTATGGTTATATGTTTACATACCACTCTGCAGGGCTGTTGATCATGAAAAAAATATGTACATCTGTTTATTGCTCGAGTGTCCATTGAGGCCCGCCATGCCTCCTGATGCCTCAATGACAGGTGATAAATGAATGCAATACATCTTCGCCACGATATATATGTATATCTCTTCACTGCACTACCCCAATTGATGGATATGTTGCCAAATTGCAAAGCTGCAAGCCTCATACTCAATTAAAGTGTTAGAATTAAACAAATCAAAAAATCATCAACTGAGGGCTCACCCAGAATGCGGCAGAAGGAGAGCTACATACCCCTTGATCAGCCTTTCCCCACAAAGCCAATTTAAATTTTCAGCACGGTGGAGTATGCATAGGTACACTCATCATGCCATTTTTCTCGTATCCAAAAACATATGGAGCCAAACAGGAGCGGGGCCCATCCCCGGGTGTGAGAGACGCCTGAGAGTCACATTGGCCAAAAGTACAAGCTACAAAGCTGGGTCATCCAGAGCGTTGAGACCCAAGTTTAATGTCAGTATATATATGGTGTTGAAGATCGGTTGGTGATAAGAGATGATATTTTCCATAAATTGTCAAACAATAGGGACTGGGCGAAGCGCTGCAAAAATCCAATTCAACCATAGTTGAAATACTATTGCAAGCAATCCAGCCCCTGTTGAATCAATATCAAAATTCCCTATTTTTATTAGTCAACTTCATGAGACTAAAAAAAATAGGGTGGCGCATAGCCGGTTGCCATCATCTGATGGGCTCTCCAATCCAAAACTTCCTACTCCTCAGCCAAAAGCCTTAGGCTGACCGCATCAGGATTGCCTGATATACCTTTCACAGATAAGGCTGTGGCCCTGAGCTCTCCGGTGGTGGTGCCCACGGGGGAGCCCGAAAAGGAAGTTTGTACCTTTGGGTTGGGGTCCTCATGAAGAACCCCTTGCAAGATAGACGTTGGAACATCCTATAGAAGTTGAGCAAGCAATCGGGTCTGTGGGAATATGGCCTTGGGAATGAACCCGGACTCAGCTTTGTCATCCCAATGAGATTTTGAACGGGGCACTTGGACATGCGAAAGGTCAGTGATATGTTCCTCCTGTTTAAATCTCTTCGGACAACTTCCTTGCTATACTTGCGCTAATTCAGGTGGCAAAATCCTGTGCTCGTCCGAACTTCGCCCAGTCCCTAATAGCTGGATGATGCTGAGACTCGGGATCTTTATCAACATCTGAGGCTCTATACCACACCCTGATGTTCTGGCATCATTGTCGACCTTGTACGTATCTGCAATTTCCTGAAATACCAGAAAAGGCTGTTGTTATCTGTGAAATCAATATCTTCTGGAATGTGGCAAAACACGGGCGGTAAAAGAGATGTCTTCAGGCAAAAAGAGTAAATCTGATCATATCTGACCGATGTTGTAAATGCAGGGCTACGAGATTGGCAACTGATTGAAGAGGGTTTCTGAGACTTGAAAGATTGGTGAGCTCAAGTATAGGTTTTGACCTGAAAAGAGTACAATCAGGATATGGTCATAGACAACGCTGACCTCACAAATTACAATCCAAGGCCCACATATCCCCTTCTATAAGGATCCTGTGCATTCTACCAATTATCAATTCAGGTATAACTAGGTTGAGCGCAAACTCAAAGAAGTCAAAATGTTTTCAAAAATTCCTCACAGACAATTTGTCAATAGTTGCACAGTCTTTCAAGCACAAGTCAATAGCGCTATCATATTCTTCTTTGAGGAACTGACACGGAAAAATCTCAATGACTGAGAACCATCTTTTTCACTCAAGCTCTGGCCTGGTATGGTAGTAGAAGGGGTAAGGTTTAGGAACCATGAATTTTACGCACAGGAGATTTAGGTACCAGGTTTATTTCAAAATGCAAAACCGCTCAAGTTCTGCTCGTACTTCTTTTAGCTGATAGTTATCTTTTCTGAATAGGGTCCTACATGAGCAGAGTACCAAGAGGCAGGAAGTAAATTCGTGCTCAGAGGGCTTCGGAAAACTGGACTGTCCCATGAATGGGTTGAATCAGGCTGAGCAGGGTTGAGTCGGTACTCGGTCTAGTGTCGGGTTGATAGACTCGGGTCAGAGAGAAATGTCCGGCTGAAGAATTTCCTCAGGACCAAACGGAAACCAACCTCTGCTCTTGGAGCTTGACGCAACAGGACGCAACAACCGGAAAAAAAACGTCAGGACGTCATCCAAGTCGAGTCACTGAAAGGAGAAGAAGACGAGGTAAGACGGAGATAGGATCAAGCATGACCGCCGAGGACTCAACTGGAGATGGAGGGATGTTTTGTAATGGGACTCAATGTGAAGAATGGTTGAGATATGGATATCTTTTAATTTCGATTGGAATGGTCTTGATGGGTGGATGTGTTGAGATGCTGAGGTTGATTAGATTGGGATTCATGAATGAACAATTTCAAAGAAAAGCACTCGATCGTCGACTTGGTATCAAGTTAACCATCAACATTCTTATCATCATCACTCAATCATATCTCTTCTTCACTATCAATCTTCGCGATCGAAACATCTTGGATCTCATTGATGGTCTACTTCTTCTTTTGGCTTTCAGTCTGGCTATCCCGCTTCAATATTTATCTCATACTCGTACTCAGCGGTCATCTTCAGAACTATTGTTCTCCTACCTGGCTGTCCTGCTTATTTCATTGGCTGAACCACCCTTCAATCTCGTATCAAACGCCACTCATTCAACTCATGAGATCGCCTTTGGCCTACGCTTTCTCGGTGTTTTGAGTATTTTCATGGTCGAATACGCTGGACCGCCTAGACCCACGGCTGGCAAAATTCGTCTTCCCACTGCAGATGCTGAAGATTTAGTCTTTGACGATGACGAATGTCCAATCGTATACGCGAATATCTTCTCGCGACTTACCTTTGGTTGGATCACACCTTTGATGCGTCTTGGGAAACGACAATACCTCACGGAGGCCGACCTTTGGCGCTTGCCTCGATCTGATCAAGCCGAAGTTCTTGGTCAGCGCTTGGCGAAGCATTGGCATACCCAACTTGATTCCAGGAAGCCATCACTCCTCATTGCCGCTGCACGTGCCTATGGCCTACCTTACATCACGGCCGCAGTGTTCAAACTCACACAGGATGTCCTACAGTTTGCTCAACCACAACTTCTTCAACGACTTCTCTCTTTTGTCGACTCTTACCGCTCTGGCAATACCCACGAACCTGCCTCGACTGGCTATCTAATTGCTCTCAGCATGTTTGCATGTGGGCTTGTCCAGACTGTGCTACTGCATCAATACTTCCAACGCGTCTTTGTGACTGGGATGAGGGTACGAAGTGGCTTAATCGGTGCGGTGTACGCCAAGGCGCTTGTCCTCTCTACGTCCGCTGGAGGTGGACGAGCGACGGGTGATATTGTCAACTTGATGTCCACGGACGTGAGCAAGGTTCAAGATTGCTGTTCAAATGGTCTCATCATATTTTCAGGACTTTTTCAACTCGTCTTGGCCTTCGCCAGCTTGTATCAAATGCTTGGTTGGCCAATGTTAGGCGGTATTGCGGTCATATTCTTGAGTATGCCTTTGAATACTATATTGATTCGGATTCAAACCAAACTTCAGAAACAACAAATGTCCAACAAGGATCGCCGCACTCGTCTTATGAGTGAGATTCTCAATAACATGCGTTCTATCAAGCTATACGTCTGGGAGTCAGCTTTCTCTAGGAAGATGTACGAGATTAGAAACAATCTCGAGCTAGTGCTTTTGCAGCGTACAGGTTACATGATCAGCGCGACTACTACTCTATGGAGCTTGTACGTTTAATTTTGTTACCTCTGCACTTGAGAGGAAGACGTCTATCAACTCATGCCATGTCTCGTCGTCAATAGTATCCCCTTTCTCGTCGCTTTTGCAGCCTTCAGTCTTTTCGCACTTACCAGCTCAGCACCTCTTACCCCAGCATTAGTCTTCCCGGCTATCTCTCTATTTCAGCTCCTTCAATTCCCGCTTGCTGTTTTACCCATGGTCATCAATCAAGCAGTACAAGCTTACGTGTCTCTGGGTCGGCTTCATGAATTCCTGACGAGTCCTGAACTTCAAACCGAGGCAATTCTCCGGAAACCCGTCTCTGAGGATTCACCGGCTATCATTATCGAGAATGCCGACTTTGCATGGTCGCCTTCTTCGTCTGAAATTACACTCAGTCAGATCTCAATGTCTGTTCCACGCACCTCATTGGTAGCTGTCGTCGGGCGTGTGGGTTCAGGAAAATCTTCTTTACTGGCTGGCCTATTAGGTGAGATGACCAAACGAACCGGCAAGATTGAGATCTCAGGCAGTATCGCCTACGCAGCTCAAGCACCTTGGCTACTATCCGCCACTATACGTGAAAATATCTTGTTTGGCGCACGCTATAATGAAGAAGCCTATCAACGCGTCATACATGCATGTGCACTTGTCGATGATCTTGCTATGTTAGCCGATGCCGATGAGACAGAGGTTGGAGAACGTGGTATCAGCTTGTCCGGTGGTCAGAAAGCTCGAATCTCGCTTGCTCGAGCAGTATATGCACGCGCGGACATCTATTTACTCGACGATCCCCTCAGCAGTGTTGATGCTCATGTTGCTCAACATTTATTCGAGCACGTCATTGGTCCCAATGGGTTGTTAGCCGGAAAGACTCGAGTACTTTGTACCAACGCCATTCAATTCTGTCAAGATGCCGATGAGTTACTCCTACTTCGAGACAATCGCATAGTCGAGCGAGGCTCTTATGACGCGGTCCTCAAGCTCGATGGTGAATTGAAGAAACTTATCAAAGATTTTGGAAAATCCAGCACTGTGGACAAAAGCCAAGACACTGAAGAGCCTTCTTCAACTGGATCTAGTTCTACAGCTACATCCTCTCTTCAGCTTGAAGATTCAAAGGTCAAAGAAGGTTTCCAAAGGCGTGCCTCGATCGTTCCAACGGCGGAACGAAAACGTGAGGCACTGAGAGCCTTGAGAGATGGTACTGGATCTAAGAAGATTCGTGAACAGCAAGCTACTGGATCCGTCAAAACGAGTGTTTATCGTCAATACATGCGTGCTAATGGTATCACTCCTATTTCGATATACCTACTTTCGATTGTGATTCAACCGGTATTCCAAATGTTAACATCATTGTGGCTCAAGTATTGGAGTACTGCAAACGTCAAAGTAGGTGAAATGAGGCACATAGGCTATTATCTCGGGGTGTATGCTTTACTCGGTACCTCGACCAGTCTCTTAGCCTTCATCAACGGGATCACCTTATACGCCTTTTGTGTGATTCGAAGTTCAAAGAAGATGCATGATGGGATGTTTGAGTGCGTGATGAGAGCTCCGATGTCATTCTTTGATAGTAAGTTTTGGTTTATTGTGATCTTGACCTGTTCTTGGAAGCTGATTACGCTCATTGCGGCTGGCAGCTACGCCTGTCGGTACAATTTTGAATCGGTTTTCAAGGTGAGTAGTCAGTTTCCTCTCATGTGTGTAATAACACCAAATTGATTCATTTTTTGTGTAACGTACTTATTCATCTTACAGAGATATTTTTGTGATCGATGAAGTCCTGGCAAGGGTACTTGGTGGATTTTTCCGCACAGTTGCAGGTATGTGTACTAAAACTGATCATACCCTAGTCATTCAAACTTGCACTGACTAATATCAACAACTCAGGCGTGGTTACGGTGGTAGCGGTGGTCTCTTGGACTGTGCCACCGTTTTTGTTCATCTGTATCCCACTACTATTGATCTACAAACAGATCCAATCTTATTATCTTGCCACCTCGCGTGAGCTCAAAAGGATTGACGCCGTTACCAAATCACCAATTTTCGCAATGTTTGGCGAAACCTTGAACGGTTTGGCTACTATTCGTGCTTTTGGTCACCAGGTCAGTGATACCAATAATCTAGCTATCAACTGTGAAGGTCTAAGCCAGAATTGAAGCTGATCAAGGATGAAAGCAGAATCGATTTGTTAGTGAGAACGATGGTCGATTGGACCGAAACCAAGAAGCATATTTTGGTTCAATTGTATCCAACAGGTGGCTTGCTGTTCGGTTAGAGTTGATCGGAAGTCTAATGATCGTTTCTGCTGCTGCATTAGCAGTCAGTGGGGTCATTGCGAACGCCAACGGATTAGATAGTGGGATGGTAGGAATCTTGATGTCATATGCACTTTCGATTACCCAGTCTCTTAATTGGTTAGTCAGAAGTGCGACAGAAGTGGAAACGAATATCGTCTCGTGTGAACGTGTACTTGAGTATTCCAAAATCGCGCCTGAAGGTTTGAATGAGAAGAATCAAAACTTAGAACCTGAACCTGAATGGCCTAGTCGTGGGGAAATCTGCTTTGAAAATGTGGAAGCACGTTATAGACCTGAGTTAGACTTGGTTTTGAAGGGTGTAAGTTTTACAGCCAAAGCTGGCGAGAAAGTCGGTATTTGTGGTCGAACGGGTGCTGGGAAATCAACTATCACGCTATCACTCTTTAGGTTGATCGAACTCGCTAGTGGACGGATCACGATTGATGGGGTCGATATCAGTACGCTTAGTTTAAGTGGACTAAGGAGTCGAATGTCGATCATACCACAAGACTCTCAGTGTTTTGAAGGCACTCTACGTGAGAATTTGGATCCATCTGGGATCGTATCTGATGAAAAGCTATGGCAAGTACTAGAATCTGCTCGGCTCAAAACACACGTTCAAACCATGGTTCGTAATCGTTCTTTTCATTGATCACCCTGACACCATCTACCACGATATCTTCTGACGTTTTTTCACTTGTTGTGATTATTAGCAAGGTGGATTGGATGCCCGAGTAGACGAAGGAGGTACTAATCTAAGTCACGGACAACGTCAACTAATGTGTCTAGCAAGAGCAATGGTTGGAAAAGGAAGTGGCGAGAGTGGAGTAGCAAAAGTGGTGGTGATGGATGAGGCTACTAGTGCAGTTGATGGACATACTGATGGGGAGGTTCAGGAAGTGATCAGAGAGTGTTTTGGAAATAGTACATTGGTGGTGATCGCGCATCGAATCAAGTAAGCCGGAAACAACCAAGTCTCTTTCTTTGACAGCTCATCTGATCTGATCAATTTGCTTTTTTCAATAGTACGATTATGGATTGTGATCGAGTGATTGTTTTAGGTAATGGAAAGGTTATTGAGAATGGATCACCTACTGAATTATTAAAAGATCGAGAAGGTGCATTTTATGGACTTTGTTCACAAGCTGGAATATCAGTTTGAAAATCGTTCAGTTTTGATCTATTTTGAAGCATGTTGAAGAAGAAAAGTTTTGTAGTGTAGTGAGTACAATTGGTCATTTTGTTTTACATTGTTGTTTTTGTGTTAATTTACAAGTAGAGATTAGTAGGAAATATGTTGTTATGATCAATTTACGTGGTTTGAATGAATTGTTGACGAGATGCAAAAGAATCTTTAGTTTGTATTTTTGCTTGGCGTCAGAACGTGGGATGGTGAATAAATTTTCGGATTTCGATTGCTTTGATGGTTGGTCATAACACAAAATTGGCAAAAGGTCGAGTGATTTTTGATGTACGATCTCGCGAAAAAGCCCCATACCGCGTGACACAGGGGGACTGAAAGGTCTAGTCATGATCATGAATTGTGATGGTTCACACCACATCGTGTCAAGACTGGTAAGGAATCTGTAAGCTGAGGTGACCGTGTAACCCATCACTCAGCGATATCATCAATGTGATGCGCAATAGTGGACTGCTTTGTTTGACTCAAACGAGCTCGGTATGTCCGTTAAATTGGTAGGTTCCTTGACAGTAGACAGCTCCGAGATTTGAATCACAAGAACCGCAAGCTTCAGGAAAGAGGAAGCCCGAAACAATTCAGAGGGCTATGGCTGATTGTCTGACATAATTGTCCAAGGGTGAAGGGAAAGATTCGCAATACAGAGGCACTAGGACAAACTTCAATGTAGATCCTAACAATCTCATGAGAATGCAGTAGAAGCCATGTTTGTAAAGGAGAAAGAAAAGAATGTAAAATCGAGAAAAGATCCGAGAACAAGGGGTGCAAACAACACAGGGGACGACTCAGGCGACTTGCGTACAGGCACCATTGGCTGCAGCGCAATAAGGGTTGTCACCCAGAGGGAAACTTGGGTTTGAATCGATTTGTAGGCTCGGGGTGCATCTGGCTTGCCCAGATGGAGTCCCCTTACCATTGGCGGGATAAATCCTGTTGTTAGGGCCAGCAATGTAGGCCACAACGCCTTGACCTGAACATATTTTCGACTGAAATGATAAGAACGTCGATTATCATCAGGTCAGATGTGAAATTCAAAAATAGCAATTCAACTTGAGATAACACAACACTTACCGTTACTTGGGGTGGAGGTTTCACACAGTCACCATTGGCCGCAGCGCAATAAGGGTTGGAACCAAGAGGGAAACTTGGGACTGCATCTATTTGTAGGTCCGGGTAGGTAGCAGTTCCAGTGCATCTGGCTTGCCCGGATGGAGACCCCTGACCATTGGCGGGATAAATCCTGTTGTTAGGGCCAGCAATGTAGGCCACAATGCTTGGACCTGAACATATTCTTGCCTGAAATGATAAGATAACATCGATGATTGTCAGGTCGGATGTGAAAGTCAAGAATAGCAAATCAACTTGAGATAGCATAACACTTACCGTTGTTTGGGCTGGAGGGTTGGCCCCGTGGACTTGAGCAATGAGGACAAGCACTACACCGACGGCCAGTGCACTCAAATTCATCGATCTGGATAAGGCTGACATGGTGTTTGATTCGAATAGTTGTCTGAGGATGAAATCAATCGGCAATGAAAGCAAGAGCAAGTGATAAACAAGGACTCAGTATGATGTTGTTAAACTCTCAGAAGCAACCTCAAAAATCTCAACGAAGAAAGAAAATTGACCTCAGAAGTGGTGAAAGGTAAGATTATTAAGAGATCGGGGTGATATCAGAAGTGCGACGGGGTGAAGAAGTGGCAGTGATGAAACCAAAGGGCAACTGAAGCCTGGTCTTTTATAGAGATACATACTCTGGTGATTATGATATACTCGTCAAACCAGGATCTCACTCTCACATGTGCTGTGCTGCGTGCATCATCATTTAGAGCATCTCCACCGGGCCGTGTAAAACAACCAATACAGGGTGTATCCACGTTGTGTGGGAAAAGATACGAGCCACCGCACCGCGTAAAGAGGCTGTATGGGTTACGCAACGTCCAAATCTTGGCCGGGATAGTATAAATTTGTTCGTTGCACAAACACCCAAACATCACCGCAAATGGAAGACCCGTACGACCTTTCTGTCACTTTGGTAAAGTTAGATCATACTATCTTTGGTTCACCGCACCGATATCACTCGATCGACTTCCTCTTCACACATCCTGGTGTTTCCCGATCACAATCAATCAACTTTCGACAACTTTCGATCCAGTTTGACTCTGTGTTAATGATTGTGCAAGGTAACCAATGCTTTGAAGGACTGATGCACATACCTCATGTGATCCAAAAGCATAGGATATGCTCTCTTTTGGGTGTGGATGCTCTTCAGTGCACGGGTATTCAGCTTTTTTGGCAAAACTTGTTCGATTTCGCCCAACCAATCACTCATTATACCTACCTCCACCTCATCAATGTCACTATTTGGTACATAGGTTCGTGTTTTCTGCTTTCCTCCTGTCTATAAAACATGAGGTTCAATTGTATTCGCCCTTCCTCACCTTCCTTTCATTCCTTCCATTCCATTCATATTTACCAAATTCTTATTGTCTCTGTCAATATCTTTAGCGCTTGATTCCTTCTACGACAATCCTTCCACACTATATCCTTGCTATTTCAACTCTTGGCCGCCTATTTACCTTGCTACTTACTTTCTTATAACGTCTCTCTTGAAGATGTCGATGTGGTGGAAACACGGCAACTGGGAAGTCAATCATGCGTCTGAGTGTAAGTCTTCATCTTGATCATATTTATGTGGTCTTTATCGCTGATGTTGTTTCTCTATTAGTTATCGACCATCATCAACAGGAACCGGTTCAGCCAAACCCTGCCGCAATGGGACCTCCAAAGCGTCCTCCTTTCCATGAAGAAGGTATGTAACTTAACTTATTCTGTTTTTGTTGTCGCCGCCTTGACCAACTTTAATCAACACTTTCCTCGCTTTCCATGGCCTGTGATTGATAATAGGTCCTCACCCTTATTTGTACTCGCCACCACGCACTCCTCAGGCTCAATGTAATACCCCATCTCAATGGTATCCCTCTAACGCATCAACTCAACCTGCCCAACCACCTCCAGCCCAACCGCCTTTGTCTCTTGCGTCATCGACACATTCTGTTTCATCCACGACTCCTTCTTTAGCTTCTTCTCAATCTCAACGTTCTAGCACCAAGCGTAAAGCTCCTGCCCGAAAAACCAAAGCTCCTACCAATTCTCAATCTACAAACCAAATTGCTCTTACCCCAGGCCTTGATGACGATACCTCCGGTGGCCGCGGCAGTTCCTACCACCCAGACGAAGATCTCCAGCTTTGCCGCTCATGGTTGAATATTTCTCAAGATAGCTTGGTAGGCAATGGTCAAACTTACAGCTCATTGTGGAAGCGAATCGCTGCCGACTTCAAACACTGGCGGCTACTTGAACCCGCCATCATCAAGGATCCTACCCTTTTTGTTGAAAGATCTGAAGAGTCTCTAGGTGGTCGATGGCGTGCAATCAATAAAGCTGTCAACAAATTTGTTGGCTATCTCTCCAAGACAAGGAATTTTCACGGCAGTGGCAAATCAGCTGACGATATCAATGCCGATGCCCATCAGATGTACTTCGAACGTGAGCGTAGTGTATTCAAGCTGGTGCGATGTCATGGTATCTTATCAAGTGCCCCTAAGTGGACCGATTACAACGTTGACCTCGCCAGACGTAGTAATCCTAAACCTTCAGCTTCTTCATCTGCCATCTCCATCCGATCAACCCCTGCTCCAACCGACAACTCGGACATTGAGGTAATCTCATCTGAATTTCATGATCGTCCTATGGGAAATAAATTAGCAAAGAAATCAAGGACTCAAGATGTGATTTTGTCTCAGATGGCTGATAATGTCAAGGTTATGGCAGAGGCTACTACAGCTATTGCCTCGCACTCTAGAGTTCAGAGTGAGGCAGTAGACTTTCTTACCGATGATTTAGTGCTCAAAACCAATACTGACTCGATGCAAGGTGAAGTTAAGATGTTTTATGAATTGAGGAAGAAAGAAATTGTAAAGAAGCGTATGGCTTTGATGAAGACCACTGCAGCGATAGAATAGTGTTTTTTACATTTTTTCCTTTATACTTTTTCTTCCTGTTGTTTGTACCTCTTCTCGTCTTGTCTGATTGTTTTGAGTATTGAGACCGACTGTCTGTTTAACACCAAAAAAATTACATTTCTTTGTAACTAATGTACTATCTTTGCATGTGAATAATTGAACAAACTGTTTAACTTTAACCATCTGAGCCTCAAGTTAATTCTCTTTACAACCAAGATCAAAGCAAGTAACACGAAAAAGAAAACAACTAATGAAAAGTTATGCCGGAGCTGCCCCACGTAAATTCCAGAGATGCTCGATCAGGTCATTCTGAAGTTGAAAGTGAGTTTGATGATTCTCCATTTGACATTGAACATTCAGATATCGCTGATAAGGTGTCATATCATTGTGTGGATGTAGAACTTCCGCGATCGGAACTAAAGGGATGACCTTGCGAAGGCCTCCATCTCTCTCGTCCTCTACTACCATGTTATTAAGTATTACACATGCTAGCATTATTGATTTCAATTTTTTTGCGCTCCACAAACGGGCGGGTCCAGCTACAATTGCAAACCGTCCTTGAAGAATTCCAAAAGAACATTCAAAGTCCTTGCGAATCTCTTCTTGCTTTTGTGCAAAATACTTCAATCAACAAACAAATAATTAGTATCGTAACCAGAATTACTTTGTGAAGAAACCAAGTGAACATACAATTTTCTTCAGTTCTTGTGGCCTTGCAATCGATTGAACTATAGTTGCCCATTTAGGATAAATGCCGTCTGCAAGGTAGTATCCCTTGTCATATTGATGACCATTGATTTCAAAATTACACTCCGGCGCCTCACCTCGGCAAAGACGTTCGAATAATGGAGAATGATTGAGTACGTTCAGATCGTTGAGAGTTCCAGGAATTCCAAAAAAAGCATGCCAGATCCAACGGTCCTTAGAAGCCACTGCTTCCAAAACTATAGTGGGACCTTCTTCTTTGCCTTTGAATTGCCCACTATGCGCTTTTGGGCAATTTTTCCAACGCCAATGCATACAATCAAGTGATCCCAACATTCCAGGGAAACCACGCTCAGCGTTCTCCTGAAGAAGTCTTGCGGTGTCTTCCCGGTTTGGCTCTCAGAGATATTCTTTTCCAAAACAAGAGACAACCGCCTCACAAAATCGTAACATACTCTCGATAGAAGTTGACTCTGCCAGACGTAGATTTTCGTCGTTCATGTCGCCGGGGGTTCCGTAGGCAAGCATCCTTATTGCTGCCGTGCATTTTTGTAGAGGTGAGAGTCCGAGCCTACGACAGGCATCTTGTTTTTGCACAAAATACTGGTCCTCTTGAGTTACTCCTTCAACAACTCGCATAAATAAATTCCGACCCATGCGAAATCAACGACGAAACAGTTCCTCATGATAACGAGGGTTATCAGAGAAGTAATCATTGTAAAGTTCTATGTGAGCTTCCTCCCGATTTCTTAATATGTTCGGGCGTTTGCCCTTCTTGGAGCCACCACCTCGGCGCTTTTGATTACCACCCGATGTGATGAGGTGACGAGCAACGTCCGTAGTAACTTGAGCTGCATTCATGATTACACGTAATCGATCGTTGGTTTGTCCACACATAGTCAAGAGGTTGTTCAACGATAAAGGGTGTTGATCAGGTGGCTCAGCCATCTTATGATGATAATGGACCAAAAATCTAATCAAAGCGGTTTTGATCAAATTGCATTTCTTCATCACAATCCGATCATATCACCCATCAGGGTGAAGATCACCTATCACCCTGATGTCATAGCCGGATGAATATGACACAGGAATATCTCTCGCGTGGCTCAATCGGTAATTGGTCGTTTTCACTTACACGGCCGCGGTTTTGTCAAACACCGCGTAAAATGTTTGTACAGGTCAAGACCTGTCGAACTGTCATTGTATAGACGGTGTTTATTCACGCCGTGGGTGGAGATGCTCTTATAGAACACAAAGAATTGTACGTCAAGATCTTGCAGGTGAGCTTTCTCTCACCGATGCCTTCTATGGATGTACTCCCCCAGAAATTCACTTGAAATGTCAACTCAGATGAGGATGATCGAGTTTCATAACTTCCGGACAGTAGCTGTATCAGTCTTCACGCAAGACAACGTGAAACGACCGTGATTTTTTATCGCGATTTTTGTTGGATCAATCATTGCAAGGCGGCCATACATGACTTCTGACATGCAATTTGGAAATCGTTCTCTGGGAGAAGAAGCGCACACGTACTAAGTGAGCCCTGGCGTTAATTATGTATCCCCAAGACTTACTAGAGTGACGCACCGATAAGCTGATGGTGGACGTTTGTGCGAAATATGAATTGACTCTTTGGATCGCGAGTTTCCAGGATTTGAAAACCGGAGTTCTTCTATTTTAATCATTGCCCATTCCAGGACCCCGGAAAGCTCCTGGAGAACCATCCGTCCTGGAGGGGTTTTCGGATACCAGTGTTTTGTGAAGTCATGTAACACAGTACCAGATTTGTGACAGGTGCAAAAGATGCGCCTCAACAAGGGCTATCAGATGGTACACATGTCTGACTCTGAACATGACTGGTGGCTTCGGAAATGTGTGATTTGTAACTTTTGCCCCCCCAGGCCGGCAAAAATCCATACCGGGTCAGGC